AAACTAAATGGCCTAGAAAGAGGAAAATGAGTTAAATAAGTTCATAATGGCACCCAAAGATCTGCCAAAACAGTTTTTAAACTGCTCCCTACCAAGCTATAAAAATGTGTGGCTAGCTACACTCATCAGCACAAAGGCAATGATATCATCAGCTTGCTAATATATCTTCCATTTTAAGGCCACCAGCGGTCAAGTAGAAGATTCAGCTTGTTGGTTTTGTTCCATAAATAGTTACTAGCAACAGCACTGAGCAGAATGAGGAAAGAATGTTAATATTTGGGAATGAGTTTATGTTGCAATAACAGAGCAGCAGCAGAAAAGAAGGCTATACACTGTTTTGTCCTTAGACTGAGAGATCATCCTCCGGCCCACAGGGAAAACAAAGCACATGAAATCTGAGTCGCAGTAAAGTTCTCGAGAATCTCCCGCGTTCTACCTTGGCCTAAAAGACACTGCAAATTTTCTCTGTATGTTTCCCCTACTTTTTGTGCATGGATTCCTTGTAACACTTGTCGATTCTGAGGTATGTCAAGTAAATATGCTAGTTTCTTACATGCTAAGATTTTCATTATTATTATTATTGCTTTGAGCCCAAGACTTTACAGGGGAGTTCAGCATAAAAATTAAAAATACAGAAAGTCAAAAACATGCATGGTGAAAGTTTAGAGAGGTGCCTGGCAGTTATATAGTCATTTACTTAACTCACAGAAAAATAACTTACTAGTCAAAATTTTACTAATGAAAACTTTATACTTTAGAGTCAGTCAATACAGCCCACAATTCATGTTGGCTACTTCCATTCTTTGATACTGAATATGGAAGGCTTCCTGAACTTTTTAACATTCCCTCTGTCTGAAACAGTGCTGCTGTAGCACACATAAATAGGCTTCCTAGGCTGCAGCATTCATGTCCTAGACTAGCTGACGTTGTAACATTAGGTGAGATGGCAAGTAATGAATCTGCTGAATTGCTCCACAAAGAACAGGATTTTCTATGTGCCTCATTGTTGAATTTGAAATTACAAATAATTTATTTAATAGAACTGGTCAAATAATAGGTAAAAGAACAGTGAAGCACATTATTACAGAGCACACAAACAAATCACACTGCCTCAGCCTTAGGAAAAATAACAGTGAGCTTAAGCTGCAGTGACTGACTGAAGCAAAGATCAAAGTAAAAATAAGAAGCAAGTATCTTTCAGGATTAGAGTTTAAAATGTGTTATTTTTTTCAAAATCATTTGCAAAGACAGGCCAAATATTACTGGTCTGAAAAAACGTGGGTCTGAAAAAAAACATGCCAACTCAGTTATGCTGAACAATTTCAGATAAAACAGGATCTTCAAGCTAGCAGTGGCTAACTTCAGGAGCTGGCGATGTGCTAATGCACCTTTCTGAGAATGGAGTCACACTCCATACATACTCTGCGCTAGAGTATGTATCAGCTAAGCTACCCAGATCTATACGCAGAACCCCTACTTCCAAACAAGGGAATAAAAAGGACAACTAGCAGGGCTTATCTTCTTTCCTTCAACCAGGGATACATTCCTCACAACTGGCATGCCTATGGTTCACAGGAAAAAAATCACAGCAAGCCTAATTCTGCTCCCAAAAGAGTGCTGTTCCACCAGTACCGCCAGCTCCAGACTCCAGCCGGTACATCACTAAAACCAGACCAGACTCCTCGCCCCAGTCTGTCACTCAGGCACAGTTTTATCAAACTACATGTCCCAAAGTTTAAGGAGGCTTGTGCAGAAAGGCATACAGCGTACTTTCTGAGGAAGAGTTACTGTCACATTGCATATGAACACATATCAGTAACATTGCAGCATGGACACACAAATCTATGCATATGCAAATAAAAACAGTACAGATCCTTGTTATGAACCCAGACTTGCTCACTTTTATGCACATCATATTCTCCCACGCAGAGAAAGTTCATTGATTATTCCACACTGAAGTAAATTGTAAGGTTCATATACATTTCTTAAACCCAATGAGAAACAGTGCTCTGCAGTGATTACTACACTAGGCGTTTACTACATTCTGATTCTCCTAGTGATAGACTGTGACCTTCATCACCAAATTTCTCTGTAATTTTTGAAAATGGAGGGTACTGATGCCAACTGTAATAAAGTACTGTGAAATGTATATGAGCTGAGTATTACCACCATCTGTATATGCAAAATACAAAATCTTAAATTGTGTTAATTCTGCAACTCTAATCACATATCTCTATGAACACTTAATTTCATTAACATGGCATGAAATTATATTCAGTGTCTAGGTGGGAAAGTCCCACAAGAACCCTATAATTACCATAACCTGTATGTCATGCCAAAAGAGAAGAATTTGTTGGTGATCCTTCAAAATGATAATTCTTCAATTCTGTTTACTGCAACAATCCAGCATTGCTTACCAATCTGCTCAGTGCTACGTTTCCCAAAATAAAACCTCTATCATAAAAGCCTGGTCAGGTGCAGCTCTTTGGTTTAAAGTACTCTGTCTTGTCTATCAGAGAATTAGCTATTAGGTCTTGCAATATGCATTGATTTTTTTAAAACTCTATATTGATGCATTTAATGAAAAGTAAAAAATTCAGGTATTGCATAGTATTCTAGTGTCAGCTGTCACATAAATTATGGGTTGCCCTACTCCACAAACACTGTATATCACAGCGAAATGTTTCCTCAAGCCAAGGGTAACTGAGGAAATATCTCCTTTAGGAAGAAAGACAGTGGATAACGGTTTCTTTTATCTGCTTCTGAAACTTCAGTCACCTTCTAGCTTACACGGCAGAAGAAAATACTTCTGAGAAAGGGTGTTGTAATATAAGAAATGAATGCTGGGAGTCTTGGAATTGTTTAAAAGCGAAATAAAAATGTAGATATCAAATACCTCAAAGCCACAGGCTCTGGCTTAGGGCTGGTGAAAAGCCCACTAAAATTAATATGAATTTACTGATTTGCTTTAAGATCTGTCTTTCATAAGCCTTTGTGCATGTAATACGAGCACTCCCCATTTCTCTTACCAGTTCCAGGAAAGGATCAGAGATATTACATGATGAACATGCTTCACTTAGCTATGATTTTATTGCCCCTCCATCTTGGCTTTCTTGTGGAATGTGGAGAAAAGCCATAGTGAGGACAACAGTTCAAAATGAGAATAAAAGTGAAACGACTACTATTAAATATAAAGTATATTCCTAGAGCTATTTTCTCTACCTAGCACCTTGAATTTTCTGGTTCAGCA